TGCTCGCTGCTCCCTGCCTGCCCCATTGCCATCTCCAGAGAGAGCACAAGCATCAAATTGCTATTATGAATCAAATAGCAATACGAAATGGCAGCATGTGGGTGTGGAACTAACATGAATGGAAAATGCGTTCAACTCTCGCTTTTCATCAGTCGGGGGATTGGACCAATCTGCAGGCAGAGAGAAATTCCATCTGTACCATGAAAATAAGTTCAACAAAAGCGAGAGCGCCACCTGCCTCCCGCGATCTGATCACTTTTCGCTCAGTACTTCTCTGTGACTTTGGCGACTTTCAGTGAATGTTTTGAATTCAATTGAACCCAGTGTTAATTGCTGTAAATGATGTCCGTTTCGTGCGGTTTTTCTTGTTGTTTTTTGTAGTTTGCCATGGACTGTGCCACGAAGTAGTGCCGTTGCCTGTTATTGCGGCAACAATTGGCGTAAATTTATGCAGCATTTGATTGAAAACCAAAATAAAATTGGTCTTTAATAATATTTTTTCCGGGTGTTTGATGGCCTTTTTTCTTTAGTCATTTGTGCTAATGACCTCCACACAGCAGAGACCTAGAGGCGCCTCAAATGTGGGTCAAAGAGTTTGTACAGTGACCTACTTTTCCATCTTTCGCTGGTCTTTAATTATTGGAAGCTTTTTTGTTTCTTTCTTTATGCGCCAACAAGGTGTGAAGGACGCACGAATCAATCAGTTGTGAGAGATACATTGGAATGACTATACTTTGAGAAATTCAACCACGTTATTGTAGCACTTTGTGTGCGCTTTTTGTTTTGTCCAAACAAAAGTATGCACATAAATGCACGCAAGGCTGTTCGTTTCACTGCATTCGGTCTGCTCTCCCATTTCTATTTACGTTTGCGCTTTTCAAATTACTTATCGCCAGTGGGCAGCCCACTCTACGGTATGCACATGCCCAAGTATCTTGTTTCTTTGATATGTTTTACCTGCTGCTAACAGGTTAGCCATTCGTTATTCTGTTCAAAATATGGAAATGCAACATATTTCTATATAAAGTTCAGTTTTAATTTTAATCTGCACTTGTTCTTGGCTTTATCGCTATCGACAGCGGTCGTTTATCAGTGTTTGTTTTTGCATTTTTCTCAACTCTTTTACTGATAGCATTGACACACAATTTGCGTCGCACGCTTTCAGCTAATTGAAGGTACAGGTAACAGGTAACAGGTATCTGTGCCTGTGCCTGTCGTACCTGTCCTACTGGCGGTACTCTCCCTGCTCTCTTTCTCTCTCTGTGTTGTGCACTGATGTTTGTTCAGTCACTGCACTGGGCTAGACGTGGCCGGAGTGTTAATATTTTAACAGTTCTTTTATGCGCCGTTAGGCGGAAAGGCTTATCAACCCACCAAATCAATGGTAGTCAAACAAAGGCAAGTGCGAGTCCCAGCAAATGGACGGACGCACACTGACGATGATGATGATGATGATGATGGTAATGATGTGTTAACGTTCGTCAAAGAGCATTGCTCAGAGAGATCACTTGCAGATCTCTTGACTGCCACAATGGACAGAAACTGTTTAGGTCCGTTAACTTGTTACAGCTCGAAAACCTGAGAATATTCTTCGAGTGGCAATGAATGAGAGAGAACAATTAGGAACAGTTGCTTCGGGGCCAGTTTACCATTTCTTTTGAAACCCATTAAATATGGATGGACTTTTGGGCTAAAGACTTAGCCGAAATAAACCACTGGAAATTGATTGGGAAATACCAATCTCTGGATTACAGAGGAAAAATGTGAAATTAGGCATAAAATAAATAAATGGGGATAAAATATAGAAGCGGATGGATGATTCAGCTGTGCAAGCTTGTGCTTAGCAAAAACCCCCCAGAGAATTCATCACACAACAGCTTTAACCCAGACTTCAGACTCCAGTCCGCCAAATGAATTGATGGATGGATGCTTTATCACGAGCAGTCAGCAACAACATGTGCCAACAATAACGAGCGGACGCCCTTGATAAGGAGGATAACTCTGGTACCAGTAGCAGCCTGCTACGCCAAGTCAAGTCCAATGAGAATACGAATCTAAATGCCGTTTTGCCTCTGCTATATGCAGAATTATTGGAAGCTGCACGCCAGTGGGCCACAAATGGGCATTTGGGAATTGGAATCAAAGTGGAATCCATAGGAAATGGGAATTCGCTGGGAATCCATAGATACAGAGCTTTACCCCTTAAACATGCAAAATGGAATTTACATGGAAATTGGGTTTTCTAGAGTACAGTTTTCACTGGGTAAGTCCCTCTCTTGGACCGTTGGCCCCCAGTGGCAGATAGTAGCTTTAACTGATTCCAAACGAATACAGTTGCTGAAAGTCAGAAAAATAAAGAAACTGATAATGAGGGGCGCTGACTGACTGCCTGACTGACTGCCAAAGACAAAGAAAACTCCAAGCGTTTCCAACTGTATCAACAAAATACAAATATAAACTGTGGGGTGCTGAAGAGACATGGGGAAGGGGGGGGGGGAGGAGGAGTCAAGTGTGCAAGAAAATGAGTAAATTAACTGCGAAATAAGCGACTTTCCAGCCAGTTGTTTGTTTCTGTCCCCCTTATTGTCCCCCCATATTGCATTATTGGCTAATTACACAACACTGTTTGAAATGCGTCATAACAGGGGGGCCGGCCTGGAGAAGTGCAGGGCTGGGCAAGAGCGAAAGATAAAGATAGATAAAGAAAGAGAGAGAGAGAGAGGAATATACAAATGCAAATGCAGTTAACGGCACTCCACTCTGTGTCGCGGTCACTGGCCAGCTGAGAGCGAGCCGGTGTGTGGTGCACAAGGTTGCCACCTGTCGGCGAAGCAGATGAAAAACAAGTTGCCAAAGAGTTGCCAGGTCTACCCATTTTCTTTTTTTTTTGGTGCTTCTTGTTGTTGATGTTGTTACTGGTCGTAATTCCACAGCATTTGATTCGTTTAAGTTGGAAATTGCAAATTGGCGACACAAAAAACAATAAGCAAACACATTTTGCGCCTTTGTTTTTTTTCGTGTTAATCAAAGTGCGCCACAAATTTCAATTTAAAAATGCAGGTTGAACCTGTAATGGCACTCCGGACTGGGCTGCGACTGGGACTGTCGTCTGGTGGTGCCTGGTTGCCGCCTGGTGGCGACGTCGCAGTTGGAAAATTGTTGCACGTTAAGTGGAGCATGGCGAAGCATAGCACAAAAACAAAAAATTATAAATAAAAACCAATCCGTTGCCATAACCAAAGGGTGGTGGCGGCGGCTGGCGAGGGGGAGTGATGATGGATGGTAGCTGAGAGAGTAAAAGGCCTGTCGCATACAGGACACATGTTTATGCATAAATATTTCTCTGGCTTTTGCCTATTTTCACGCTCGGTTGCCCTTGTACACCCCCCACCCCTTCTAAATATACGTACACTTTTTTTCGTCAATTAACGCATTTAATGCCACAGAAAAAAAAACAGAAAAAATACAACATGGCAGCAAATGAAATTTCACCATACAACAAAAAATACCAACTGTCAGAGCGACCCCAGGCCCCTGGCCCATCATCGTACTCATCCGATGATGATGATTTTGTCTTTTGTGTACAAACAAAATCAAACACATATGCACACATGTATCGTGCTCTGGCGATGAGTTTTAGATAGATATATGCATTACGTGGATTTCTTTTGTTTCATTTCAACTAGAAATTAGGTAGAAACTGAAGCAATAACAACCAGATTTACAGCCAAAATTACACTCACACACACACGCGCACGCAACCACATTGGATATAGAGAGTGCTAGAGAAATAGATAGTGGAGGGACAGAGACTGAGAGAAGAAAACGTACACACACGCACACATACATCCACATACACCATGGAAGTTATACCAATATTTGGGACGTCTTTTGTTTCATATTGAGGAGCTTAATTTTAATCGAGTGCACTGCAACTTACACCTTGCCGACGTTATCTCAATTGCACCGTATAGCGTAAGGAGAATTGCAATTTGCGCGCACGCACTACCGAAACTTTTCGCCATCTTTTCCCCGTGCAACTTGCAACGTTGAATGTAAATTGATTTATCGAATTTTTATGTCTATTTTTTTTGACAATATAATTGGTGTTCTCTTTTTTTGCAAATAATATCAATTTGGATATTTTCGTGGGTATATATCAACGGACTTTTCTGAACTCAGAAAAAAATTCGACAAAATGTTGTTGTTTCATTGTTCGCGGCAGAAAAATTTGTGAGACCATTTGTGTTATGACAAGTGTTACCGCGGGATTATCGATCAAATATACCGTCTGACGCTTAGAAATATACCGAAAGATAACTTCTTATTTTCAAAATATACCAATGAGAATCATATTCGTCCATTAATATTCGATTTCATATTCACTATATATACTGAATTGATAAATACATTTTCTACAAGATTGGCTTATTTTATGGACTATTTTTTGTTGATTACGTATTAAATAGTGTCCAAGCAAAGTAGGTCAACAAAAAATGTAATTTTTTTCATGGTAACTACACATTTGCTACATATCTGCTGGCTGCATCGATATTTTGGTGCGACAAATGGAAATAGATTGTTGGCGGCTACATCTTTTACGGATTATATTCATGAATATGAATGTTGGAAGTTTGTTGAAATGTCGAGCTTGCTAGTAATATTAAGCTGAGTAGTAGAGTAATATGATTTGTGATTATGGACAGAGAACGATTAACCCATTGTTGACGAGTCTGTTTTAAATGAAGAATTTTTGGCCCCGAATTACACATTATCCACAGCTTAGCCTAAGCCTTTCCTTTTTTGTTTATGGTACAGGTATATGGAGCGAAGATTTAACAAAAGTACAAACATTAACTTTATTATCTGCATTTCAATTGTTGATTCATCGGTATGTGTACAGTATATGTTAAAAATGAGTTGGTATATTGCCGAGGGTCACACGGTATGTCCTATCGATAAGTGTGCGGTCACACTGGTTGGTGGCTCGGCAGAACAAGCACAGTTAAAAAACACACTGACACATATATGTACTGTACATATGTATAGCTTACAATTGTTATTTTTTGTTTGCCATAATGCAACCGTGTCACGCCTAGTCCGCCCCGATCAGCCAGCACGCCGCACTCAGCCCAGCCACCGTCCAGTCAACAGGTTGTGAGCTATCCAGCCAGCCAGACCCCAAATCGATCTCCCATTCCGGATCAGCCATCAAGCAGAGGCGCCATAACAAACGCAGTCTTCCGCCCCGCCCCCCCGCAGGAGGAAGATGCATCTGCGACGCAACGGCCAGTCGCTGCCCCCGGCCGAGCCAGAGAGTGTGAAAGGGCATGGAAGTGGAAGTGGAAGTGGCAGCCAGGATGATGGAGGCGATGCAAAAGCGCCGGTCAGGCCGCGTCGCGGTTGCTACTTCTCGCTGGCCTTCTCCATTGGATCGATGGGATTGGCGTGCGGCAGCCTATGGCAGATACCGAACACCACCGACAGGATCACACTGCAGCGTGGACTCTTTCTGACGTCCCTGGGCTTCATTTACTTTGTATCGCTGACGGATTTCTGCAATAAATATTTGCTGGAGACGCGGCGCGGTCAGGAGTTTCGACGCAAGTATCGCCTCATGATGTCCGATGTCCTGGAAATTACCAACAAGTGAGTGACTGTGTGTGGGTCAGTGCATGTGTGTGCGTGTGTTATCCGCATTCCTATGAGGGCTTAACTGGGGGGGGGTCCTGCTGTCATGTGGGTGTGCCGCCCCCGCTGCTGCTGCTGCTGCATGATGTCGGTGCGTGTCCATGTGGGTGTGCCCTCTATATTCAAGTGGTGTGCGTGTGTGCCTGTGCTTGTGTGGGCGGCATCTCTCGATGCATATCTCTATTGATTTTCTCGCGTCGAGTGCAGCCCACACACGCATAAGCACGCAACATCATTATGGTATATATATGTATGTAGATATATATAGTATATCTAGTATATATTACCGCTATATATAGTATATGCATTATATACAACTAGATCCAGCTGGCCCTGACATTGCCTTGCGGCGGCAATTGTTCGGTTCGGGAATTTCTTGGGCTTTTCTCTAGAAATTCATTTCATCAGCAAACGCATCCCATGGCATCTCTCTTTCAACCGGGTCAAGGTCTTTGGGTGGCAGTGTCTAAAAAAGGGGTAAATAGAGAGAGAGAGAGAGAGAGAGAGTGATGGGGCTGCTGGGGATTGGGGGTGGGTTTTTGTTGCATTCAAAAACGGGTTCTGACTTCAAGGCAAACATGGTTCTCTCTCGCGCAATGAAATCATTTTTTATGTGCGACTAGGGAAACGGTTCTTAACCGGTATTCGCCATCGGGTTACCCGGTAATCCCTCTCTCTCTCTCTCTCTCTCTGTTCGACAATTAAATATTCGAAATTTTATTTACACTTTTGGAATAGTTTCTATCCATCCAACCCCCTGGCTCTGGCTCTGAGTGTTAATTAAACTGTGTGCAGAATGATTTAACGCGCTTAAATTAAGTTCCCCCAACCCATCTATTCGAGAGTGAGCGAGTGCGATCTCTGGCCGAATGTTGATTACATGATCTGTTGATAGCACCAGCACCGACCGAACCTAACCGGCTGATGTTATACAACTCGATCTCTGTGTGCAGCTAGAATTTTGTTCAATCATCCACAACGAGATACTGCCGTGCAGGCAAATCATACGTGAATCTTTAGCACTCTCTCTCTCTCAAGTAATACCGAAACAGCTGTCTCTATCCATCGTAATGACTCATTCACAGAACCCTGTCTGTGCGTTTGTGCCTCAGTCTTGTTAGAGACTCAATTTTATTTTGGCTTGTAATATGATTCATTTGTGCAGATAAGTTTTTTGTTATGCTGGTGTTAAGTTAGATTGCTAAATGTGCATATCTTTTTGTGATCAAATTGGCTTCATTTCCATTTCCATATTCAATAATTTACCGCTTTACTTATGGATAGTTTCCATTTCCATCATTTGATCTAAACTAAAATTTGTGAAATCGCTGGTAAAATTTCGAAATTTTTCGTATTTATTTTTGTACTGAAAAATGTGTACCTAAATTTGATCAAAATTGATAATCGTTTCAGAACTGTTTCTTTACTTGTAATATGATCAAAAATGTATGAATTTTAAAATAGTTTTGGTTTTTCTTCAAAAACAATACCAAGATTGTAATTGCAAATAAGTTCAAAGTATTTGTCGCACCTAATATGCTGAGTATTCTGGTATTATATTACGGGTCACTATTATAATTCCAACAGCCCCAATTCACATCCGTCTTGATAAGACAATCAGCAAAGCCCTGGCCCTGCGTATCTCTGCTGCTCTACTGCTGGCCCTTCCTCCCGTTCCTCAGTCTGTCTGTCTCCTACTCCCTATGTGGAACGAACCCCATCAGTTTGTATATGTGTGTGTGTGTCTCTCTCTTATCGGAATCGATTAAGGTGCTTGTGTGAGTGAACGCTGGTGTATGAGTAGATAAGCGTCACGTTGTGTTTAGATGCTTACGGGAAAATGGCCATGGCCACCTGCCACCCGCCATCAGCCACTAGACTAGACACTCGCCAAACCCCCCAACCACTCGTCACACAAACTACTCGGCACTCGCCATACCCCACCGCTCGTGCCACTCGCCACTCGGCATAATCAAAGTCGGGGTGTCTCTATATAACAGCGTAGAAAAGCTTGCCGGAGGAGGGCCTTTAAGTGCCATTGTGGAACAAAATTTTACTTTCCACTGCCTTTTACCCGAATGTCGACTTGACATTCATCATAAATCTTAATTAGACACTCTCTCGCCGACTGTTGTTGGGATTTTACTTCCATTCGGACTGTACTCGATTTTCGGGCCCGACCCAGTAACCGATATCAAAATCATATTCACATCCAATTGCCTTTGATTGTCGTAAATTTGTGGGTACATACCCAAATACTCGTAAGACATATTAGATACCAACTACATATAGCATGTATATAATATGTAGATAGAATGTATATATAAGGTCGGACCACACACACTGTCACCTTTTGGGGCCATTCATTAGCTAGGGTGGTGATTCTAATTGGAACTAATGTCTCTATTCGATACGACAGCGGCATTTCTGTTTGCTACAGTTTCTGTTTGGTCTCGAGTCCCCCGAGTTCGAGGGCTTGTTTGAGTGGTTATCGTATGGTATTGCGGGTTTGCCAGAGGGAGGGTTGGGTGGGCCGGGCGACCGTCAAGGTTCAATGGGCACTTTGCACGGTATTTACGAGGCGGAATCACGTCTAATTGAGTACGTTTGTATGTAGAATTATATATGTATGAGTGTGCGCGTTACAGTGCGATTCATTATTGATCAATTATACTAATCACGATTAAAATAATTCGAATAATTTTGAGTGACAACAAATGAGTTGTTAATTCGAATAATTTTATGATAATTCATAATGGTAAAATCGATTTTAATTTGGGAATTTATTGAAGAGCAGTAGATTGAGCATTTCCCAGTAGGTTCAAGCTTTAAAAGTTTCCATTTCGAGTTTCGAACTGTGAAAAATCTTTGGAAAATGTTGCCTCAATTGTGACAATGAAGTGTGATGCACTCTTGGGACGCACTGTACATTTTGATTGAGCACAAAAAGGGGACCAGCTGTGGGTCTAATTAGCTTCTACAAAAAGCCACTTTGAACCTGTTGAGATGAGCGAGCGGAGCTGTAAACGGCACTCGGCCCCTGTCTGTGCCTCGAGCAATCTACGTATCAACTCGAGCACTTGCGACAACATTCTATATAAAAGCGAAACAAAGACTAATATAACTTGATAGCGGAACATGAAACAGAGATGCATTAATCAGATTAACAATTTTGTTTTGCTCTTTGAATGGAGTTCACATAAGCTGTACTGTACCATGGGGGAATATTATGTTTTAATGTAAGTTTGGGTATTTTGTTGGAACTGCTTCCAGTCGTTAACTTCCTCCATTTAATGCCCAGCCAAACCCCCAACTAATCCCACGCTAATGACAAGCAATCACACATTCGGCTGTGCCGCCCATGGGGCGATAACTGCGGCTCTAATGAATGAGCCCAAGTGGCCCACACAACCCCTGACCTTTGGCAGGTGCTGCGCCCCCTGAGGGCGTGAGGTCATCGTCAACAAAACAACGCAAAAAACGGAGCAGAAAACTCCAAAATTGTGGGCCAGCAATTGAGCTATTTAATCGCTTTGAAAAGTACAAATCGAATGGGGAAATTGAGGGCGGAATATTTTATTTGGTGGCGAACTTCTTCATTTTATTTGTGCTCTTGGTTTGCTTCTTGCTGCTGGCCAACTTCTTCGGGGATTTGCTTTGCCCGCGCACTGGGGCTGGAACTGGCACTGGCACTGGCACTGGTTCTGGCTCTGGCACATCGATCTTAAGCTCCGTCAGGCGGATGCTGCTGCTGCTCTTGGTCTCCGATGATTGAAAGCTGACGGATTTTTGCACCCTCTCCACCTTGTCCATCGGCTGCTCCGTGTGCTCCTTCTGCTGCCGCTGAGCATCTGCCGGAGAAGTGCTTAGCTTGTGTGCCTCTCCGCCCGCCAGTCGCCGCAGGAAGCGGACTGGAGTATGATAGCAGATCTGGGCACCGGCAATCGATTCCAGACGCGTTGCCTCCCGCTTAAAGTCGACCAGAACCGAATGGATGGGCGGAAACAGTCGCAGCGATGTCCTGCACTTCTTGGGCTTGGCTCCTGGCACTTCACGATCGGTTCCAGCCAGTTGACGATTTGATTTTGCCACTTGATGATCGCCTTGTGCCTCGAGAATATCTTTTGTCGTCTCTTGAAGATCTTCCTTGGGCTGCGGCTCGGGCTCGGTCTCGGTCTCCGCCGGATATGGGATCTGTGAGAGCAGCTGCAGCATTGGCATGTATTTGCGCTCCAATTTGAGTGTCGGCTCCTTGAACGGCTTCGCCTCGAGCTCTTCCTCTGGTCCCAACTCTGGCTCTGCCTCTGTCTCGGCTGCTTCCAGTGGATTCTCGTCCATCTCCGCTTGCTTCTCGCACTGCTGAGACTTCTTTTTCTTGATTCGCTTGCCGCACGTGTGCCGAACTGTGGGATTGAGACTCTTCACCAAAGACTGGTGTAAATAGCGCACGGCATGAGGCTTCTTGCCCCGCTTCAACGGAATGGATACAAAATACTGATAGCTCATGTCGATGCCATCCTCGGCAGTGCGCGGCACCTTGTGCTGTGCCATGCGCACTATTTTCGAGTTCATCGAAGGAGCAACAGTCGCTGCTGGTGCCGCAGACTGCTGCTGAGATTGAGATTGAGATTGAGGCCTGGCCATGCTGACTTGGTTCAGCTTAGGCCTAGGTCCAGGCATCTTTTTTGTGCTCTTTGGGGGACAACTCCTCGACAGACGCTGATCCGAGGGTGGTGGCTTGAGTGGCAGCACACTTGTTGGCTCCTCCTCGAAGGGATCAGCGTTGGCTGCTTGTTGCTTCCTGGAGCCAGCCTTGGCCTTTGCATCTGTCTTGGGGGCATTGGGTATAATCTTGACCACCGTCGATGTTAGCCTAATGGCCTTGGAGCTGTCCGGAATGAGGCGTACCTTGGACCATGCTCTGGCCTGCTGCTCTTCTGCTTCTTGGGGCTGACTGGAGACGCTGGTCTTGCTCCTGCTCCTGCTGCTGTGAGTCTGGCCAATAGTCAGTTCCAGTTCGGATTCCACCAGCACTTCCGATTCGATTCTAGTCTCGTCCAGCGGCTGCGTTTCCACCTGCTGGGCCATGGTCTGCTGCTCGAGGCGTTCCTTCTTCGCCAGCAATGGCCATACCTGGGCCTTCTTGAGTGCCGCAACCTCCATGATCCGCTGGCTGGGCACGATGTAGGTGCGCGACTCCAGCTGGCGGCGAGAGACAACGGCAGAGAGCAATCGACTGCTCGACTGCGGCAGTTTGTGCTCTGCCTCCGAGTCGCTGTCCTGCTCAAAGTTCTGGCACGGACTCATGATCCATTCGGCCACCGGATGTTGTAATTTTCTACGCCGAACGGATGAAGCAGGAGCAGAATTTACACTTGGAGCTACTCCACCTGTACGACGTGCGGCGGCTGCTGCTGCTTCTCCAGCCACTTGCTTCCTTGCCTTTCGCTGCATGTTCGTCTGTCGTCGTCTCTCCCCGTTGAGCGCCTCCAAGGGGGCCCGCCTGGCCGCCACCGGAGGATACGAACCCAGTCGAACCGGCGGGCACACATACTGCATGAACTTTCCACTGCGTTCGCCGCTCTTCTCCATCGCCTTCGACAACTCCGTAAAGTTCGAAAACATTTCAAATTTTAATGCTAAATGCCGTTCAGCTAGAACCTCAATTTGTGTTCTGTTTTTTTTTGTGAATTTTCGTGTGTTTTTTAATTGTTTCTAAAAACGCTTTTAATTTTGAGAAATTTGTATCGAATGCTCTAACATTGTTGATTTGTTGAGGAGAAGCGTAGCAATAATAAATAATACTGTGACTTGCCAACGGGCGGAATGCCATTAAAGGTGTCAACCAAACATCGGCCTACTTGAAGCTCAACAAATTGATGCCTTTGCAGGGCAAGTGGCAGTCCACGCCAGCAGCTGCTGTGCCGTGCCTCTGAGGAGTGTCGTAAGAAACAGCATGGGGCATGGACCCCTGTAGCTGCCACAAAAGTGGCTACTTCAGCGAAGCTCTGGGTGGCCTTTAAGTTCAACACACATAATCGGTTCGAGCTGCAGCTAAAATAGCGTTGCTAGCGATGGCACTTGTGTCAATGTTATCGATATCGATCAGCGATAACTTTGGAGTCACGTTTTAAGGGAACAGCGATGATTTTCCCTTGTCTCTTCAATTGTTATTGCGAAAAGCTGTGTGAAAAAACTGAGCATGCCTGCGCTTTTGATTCAACTTAAAACTGAGACGGAGACACACGAACAGAGAGAGCATTCCTTGAAGCTACTCCTGGAGCAAAATTAAACGTTAATCATCAGGTATCACTGTAATAGAACTAAATTTTCAATGTGCACCTCGTACAAGTGTGGGCAGTGGTGCTGCCCGGCACGGGCACAGCGCCCGGAGAAGCTGATGATGGTGATGCGAGAGCGCAAGTGCTGCTCGGTGGTCAATTGTATGTACTGCAAGGAAGATACACGCCATGCGTGTCGATGTAGTTGCCATAGCAATCGAGCGTTTCTGCACTCGCTGGCGTTTCTCTTTCGCTGCAGCATCCACTTTGTGGTGTCCACACTCTGCCGACTGGCGTATCTTGAGGCACAGACGTTGATGGAGACTGGCAGCAGCAGCCCGCTGGATAGCGTTAAGGCGCCGTATACGGAGGCGCAGGATTTGGCCATCAATGACAGCATCTACGATCGGTGCGGCGAGGTCACCGATCCACTGGACCTGGACAATGCCTACAAGGTGATGCGTCTGATGTTTCTCACACCGGTGCTGCAGCCGGACCAGTACAGTTGTCTCGTCTGGATGCTGCAGAAGCTCAATGCGCGCGCCAACGGCCGTGTTAATCTTGATTGGCTGATCTACACGATCGCCATGCTGCGGCTGGATGTGTTCGTGTGCGATGTCTTGCGGCAGGATGCCCGTGCCGCGCGTCTCTACAATGCCCAGCTGTGCCGGCGCTTCTGTCAGCCCTACGGGCCCGTGCACATCACCGAGGAGGAGGCCATACTCCAGAAGCGCATGCGCGATCGCAAGGCGAAAGCACGTGGCCGAGCAGCCACAGAGGCCTACGCCCGGAAGCGTGGAGATCGCAACGCTCCCCTCTACTGCACACGCAGGCCGATCGAGGAGACTGCGTCCGTGCGCCACTCTGGCTCCCCCGTCAGCCAAACCGCCAGCAGCCAGAAGAACTCGGTGAAGCCGCCACGCACGAGCAAGTCGCCGGGAGCTGGCTCCGGCGCCTCGGAGAAGAACTCGCGTCGTGTCTCACGCAACTCCAACAGCATCGGTGTACGCATGCAGGGTGGCACGCCAACATAATAATATTCTAGTAAATTAATGAATTCCACTGCCTTGTTTCCATGCCAAAATATTCGCCGCAAAGCACTCAGCAAACATGGAGGAGTAGGTCAGTCCTATGATCCTCTCAGAGCGGGTCTGAGGAATATCAACAATAAACAGACAAGAGTAACGGACAGCAAAGTAATGAAGGGAAGACATGGCACCAGGTCTCTCTTTCTCTAGCAATCCTCTCTGAGCGAGTCTAGTGACAAGAGTAACGGACAGCAAAGTAACGAGAACATGGCATAGGGAGGAGCAGGAAACGATCAGGCACTCGGGATAGTGTCGCAGTCCTCGAGTTGGATCCTGGATCGCTTCTTCCTTTAATGGGAATTGTGAGCTATTTATTTGTTCTTTGTTTTGAAACGCTGTGAGGCTGAGGCTATGCCTACGGCTACTCGTTGGTGGTATTCAGGCTCTGTGTGGCCGTGGTCTGCATTTGGGTGTGGGCAGATATTCCTGAAGTATTTGCTCCTCCAGCAGGGCATTGTAGGTGGGCGGAATGACCAGCGGTGTGGCTGGAAACCTGCGACGTGTTGCAGGGGGTTCAGACTTTATCTCAGACAGTGGGCAGGGCGAAACGCCAGTGTCCTCGGTCGTTGCCATGTATGGTAGCGGATCTTGATATCCGTACAATCGGCCTTCGGGGCTGCTGTTGGAATGTGTGTCAAAGTCCAGATCGGAGTGGATCGAGACTGGCGGCACTTGCGTACGTCGCAGCTCCTCCTCTTGGCCTCCTGGCATTCGCGCTCTCGTTGTGGTTCGCCACGCCAAATTGCTGCTGGACGTGGGCACAGCGAACAGGGACAGATGGCAGGGACTTTCCTCTTTGACCATGGCTGCTGGTGTTGCTGGTGGAGGATGCGTGTAGCTATTGAAACGCCTGTCACGGGCCACAAAGGCTGCAGGGCATGTCCTGGTTCGCTGCTCCCAGCTGTCATAGCTGCGGGCTGCTGCTGCACCGCTATGTGCCGTCGCTTCTGGTGGCTCCACCGTAAAGTCAAGCTGCTCCTGTGAGTAGTCCATGGGCTGAATTCTGGTCGTCACAGCCTCTCGCTCCCTGGACTCGTCAGCAATCGAAGCCGTGGATTTCCTTGCGTATCTGGGTCCGCCCAAAGCTTCCACCAAGCCCCTCAGTCCCAGTGCGGCCGCGGTAATAGCTCCGGCGCTCTGTCGCTGTGTTGTCCGTTGCCTGCTGCCGCGATGGTCAGTCCTGCCGTTGTGTGGCATCATATACGATACCGGCGGCTGTGGTGCGTTCTTATGCCAATTATTTGGCAGCTCCTCCTCCTCATCGTAGAAGGGTCTGGTCTCGGACACAGATCTAGGTATGCGCCAATGCCGTTTGACATTATTCTCGTGCTGCGTCGGTGGCTGCGGCTGGCGCTGATGTAGGATCTGAGCTTGAGGTTGCGGCTGGCGATGGGAATGGAGATGAGGTTGAGTCAGTCTCTGAGGCTGGAGCTGGAGCTCTGGTTGTGTCTGTCGTTGCTGACGCTGTGCTTGACGCTGAGGCTGTGCCACGTCCTTTCGCGGAGGCTGATGCTGACGCTGATGCTCTTCCTGGCGATGCTGATGCTGATGCTGATGCTCTTCCTGGCGTTGCTCCTGCCGATGAGGCTGACGCTGTGTCTGCCGCAGTGCCTCTTCCTGTGCCTGACGCAGTCTCTGTCGCTGTGACTGTGGCTCCGAATAATTCGGATTGTTTAGCGGCTGAGGCTGTGGCTGTGGCTGTGGCTGCTGCCTTGTGTGGTGTTGCGGTGTATCCCAATTGGTGCATTGATAAGGCACCGCGGGCTCACGATACGAGTAGGGATCGTGCGGATCTGGATACTGCCATTGATTCAAAGGATGTTCAGTGCGCATGCCAGGATGTAGCACGCTGCCGGAGTCCGAGCGACGCGTTTGGTTCCATTTTGGACCCTCATCGACCTCATAGCTGGGCTCGCCGAACCACACATGCTCCTCGCAGGGCTCCGTCTCAGGCTCCGGCTCCGGCTCCGGCTCCGGCTCCTGTTGCTGTTCCTCCTCCTCTTCCTGCTCCTCAGCTGGCTGCTGCTGCTGTTCCTGTTCCTGCGCCTCGTTGACAGACCAATGCTCCTGCTGCTCGGCAGTTGCCGCCGCCGATGGCTTCGATTTCGGGGGATTGTTCTGCTCGATGCTAAGCATAAACTTAAGGCAGCGCCGTCGCATCTTGCCCTCGTAGTAGGCCTCGGCCCGTGGCCTGGCGGTGCGCAGTGTGAGCGGCGCATGATTGTGTTGCATCCATTTGGGACTCCGCTTAGCCTCCCGCTTTGCCTCCCGCTTGGCCATGAGCGTATGCTTCAGATCCAGCGGCTCGTTGCTCAACAGCTTGGGTATTTTCTTGCCACAGTTCATGGGAAAGTTGAGGGGCCTAGCCCAAGGAGCAGGACTAGGACTAGGAACAGCAGCAGTAGCACTCATCATTGGGACATAAAGAGCCGCCTGATGATAATGTTGTTGCTGCTGCAGCTCGTAGGGCATGTAGCGATTCGGTTCGTTGTGGTTTTGGTTTGGATTTGAGAGCTCCAAATCATGTTGGAGCTGCATCTGTGGCTGCTGCATTGGAGGAGCATCCTTTTGTGGCTGCTTCATCGGAGGAGTCAGTTTCTGTGGCTGCCTTAACGAAGTCTCCCTCTGTGGCTGCTTCATCGGAGGAGCTTGCCTTTGTGTTTGCTTCATGGGAGGAGTTTCCGCTTCCCTTTGTGTCGCACGCTGTGGCTGATTCACTGGATTCTTCCTTTGTGTCTCCCTCTGCTTCTCCCTCTGTGGCGGCGGCGGCTGCGGCTGCTGCTGCTGCTGATTTCCCCATCTGGCATCTGGCATCGCCAGAACCAGCTGCTCCTCACTGGCTATCGATGGTGTTGGCGTGCAGGGACACGCTATGGTCGTCGTATTGGAGCTGAGTGCGCGTATCGAGCAGCGTGAGTGACGCGATCGTAGGCTCGCGCTCATCATAGCCTCCAGCCCGGCATTCTCATCGTACCACAATTTTGGTTGCGTTTCCGTGTAGTAGCGACGTCCCTTGTCTCTGGTCTTTTGGGGGGCTGCTGCTGCTGCTGCTGTTGCTCTCCCTCTTTCCCTTTCCCGTTCCCGTGGCACTGCCTCGTTGTGGGAGCCCCTGCGTGAGCTGGTGAATCCATTGGCAATCCAACGCAATGCTCCACTGCACGGCGGTCGAAGTTTGTAGGCCGCGGACAGGCCCTTAAGCTGCTTCTTCGTTGTGGATTGTTGCTGTCCCTGCTCCACGTTTGGCCGTTCCTGATCGTCCTGATCATAGCCTCCCGCCTGTGAATAGAAGCCTTCCTCCTCCGGCACAGTACGCCAAAAGGGACAATCATAATTATGGCAACTGCCGCTAAGCAGCACTGGCTCCTCCAGCTCCTGCTGCTGCTTCTCCTCTGGGATCCATTCGGAAGGATTTTCTGCAGCTGCTGAGTGTCGCTCCTCCAACCATTCAGCCTCACGTGTTGCCACTGAAGGCTCCAGTTGCTCTCCCTCCCTCCATCCAGGGCACTGCTCGGGGCATGCCTGTGCCCTTTCCTGTTGATTCTGCCAATTGGGAAAGTCTTGGGGCTGACTGCCACTCGTTGCCGCATTCGAATAGGAATATTTTCCGCACAGACATTCGCTTGGATACGAATTGGATGGATTAAGCATCGCCACGGAGTGCTCTTGCTGCTCATGGATCGATGGATATTCCTCCTTCATATCGCTGCTTGACACCTGGCGATGGTCTGCAGTCTCCGTTTCCGTTTCCATCTCCACATCCCTCTCCTGCCTCTGTGTCGCCGCTTTGTGGAGTCTTCTCTTTTTCACGCTTCGTGTGGGTGAGGCTGAGGATTTTCTTTGCACGTTCCTGCTGGCGGGACTGCGCATTCGACTTGGACTCGGACCGCGACTGGCGCTGGTGGTGGCGGTGGGACTCGATGAGTTGTAGTTGCCACGTGGCACGGATTGCTTCCTGCTTGCCACGATCCTCGGGCAGTTGGTGCATTTCCTTCGCTCCGCCTTGCAATTGCCGCTGCACAAGGCCAAATCCGCCTGCAAGCTGCGTGCACCATCCGAAACATCTGTAGGCGCTCTGGACTGTCTGGCAGCTCTGACCTCTCTGAACTGTCTGGCATCACTGGAAGCCTTTGTTTGCTTTGCGGCTACGGCAGATGGCGCACGTTGGCGACTTGACGGCCGGGCAGCTGGGTTGCTTCGCGGCGACACGCGTCGTGCTCGGGCCGTGGGCCTTGGACTGGGCTCTGGCTTCGGGCGGCAGGTGGTCTTCTTCGTCTTGAGGCAATCGTGGCGGGCCCGCTTTCTGGCCACCATTTTCATTAGCTGCAGATAATCGTTGGCCAGATAGCAGGCCCTCGTGCCATGTTTGTTCACCTTCAGGCAGAATCCCTCCACAAACGATGATGTCTGCTCGTCCCTCAGCCTCGTGCCGCCTCCATCCTCTCCGCCCTTGATCTGTTCGTTGCGCTCCAGTCGCCTTCTGCCGAAATTCTCATTGACAAAACGACGCTTGAGCGGCCTCGAGCTGCGCTTCTGCAGTGTCCAAATGGCCGATGAGGGGCTGCCGTCGATGTTGCAGGCACCCGCCTGGCTGCGTTTTCTCATGCAGAGCGTGCCACAGCTGGAACTGCAATCGGAATTGGAGCTGGAACCGTAGCAGCATTCGCAGCTGTTGGAGGGTCTCAATGTGGTGGTGCTGCTGCTGCCGCCTGCTGCCTCCTCCGATGGCTGCCATTCGGGTTGCGCTGCTGTTGGTTCTGCCAGTTGCTGCTCCTCGAACTGCCAGACAGCAGGCTCATGGCCACACACTCCTCGCATATGATATGGAATGGGCGGCGGTGCTGGCTCTCTGTGGTAGCCCTGATTCTGATTCTGGCGACGCATCCGCTGATAGCTTGAGTTGTGCCTGTACAGCAGATGGCGGCCGGAGCGCAGGCAGCGCCTGCAGAGGCCAGCAAATCCACCAAAAAATGTTTGAGCCGGATAGGGATTCTTCGTTGGTTTCGCTGGTTTCTCCTTCTTCTCCTTCTTTGCTTTCTTATCCATCTTCGGGAGTTGCTCTTCATCATCCTGGAGGGGATCCTTGGACCAGCAGGAGCAGCACTTGAAGCCACTTTTCTTTTTCTCTGGCTCCTTGTTGCGGTTGGGTAGCTGCTGCTGCTGCTGCTGCTGCTGCTGCTGCTGCTGCTGCTGCTGCTGCTGCTGCTGCTCCTCGGGCTCCATGGGGGACTCTTGCGGCTCCACTTGCGGCTCTCTTGTCCATGGCCTTGGCTTTTCCTTGAAGCGTATACGCTCCGTGGGCGCTGGAGCTGTAGCTTTAGCTGTAGTCGTAGCTGGTGCTGGTTCCTGCCTTCGGGTGGGACATGTCTCATTGCCGCAGGGCGCTTTCTCTTGCTCCTCCACTGGCAGATACTCCATCTGTGGCACATCCGATGCGGAGGGCATGAAGGGCACTGCATGGTCCGCTGCATGGACCGACTCATCGCCCAGGCACTGCTGGTGCTCCGGGCTCTCGTTTGTCTCCTCGCACATGCAGTAAGGCGCCGATTCGCCCCAGTGCCGCATGGAGATGCCATAGAGCGGACAGCTCTCGGTCATTGCCTCCTCGTAGTGCTTGAGTAACCCAAAGAACTCTGGCGAGATGCGGCGAAAGTGCTGCGGCTTCAGGCGACGCTGTGGCGCCTCCCGCAGCTCATATTTGCGGCGCAGACACGGCATCAGCGGCTCTGTGCGCCGCGTCGCCAGCTGGCACTCCCTGGACATGGGCTGGCCGTCGCTCTGGAACAGTGACTGGCTGGGACAGCGGCACAGGCAGGTGCAGCTGCTACGCCGCACAATGTGTCGTCGTCGTCGACGAGGAGGAGGAGGAGGAGGAGGAGGACTCTGACCGCCAGCTCTGCTCCTACTCCGGCTGTTGCTTCTGCTCCTGCTTCTGCTCCTGCTCCTGCTTCTGCTCCTGCTTCTGGCCTCGGGTCCACATGCTGCCACATTTGGCTTGCACAGCGTGATGGACCGACTGCTGGCAATTTGCTTGCCCAACCGCCACTGCTGCTGCGAATCGTCTCCAGGTGGCACTGCTACCTTTCCCCTGCTCCTGCTCCTGCTCCTTCTCCTGCTCCTGCAGCCGCATGTGGGCCTGCCCTGCAGCTGTCCCTCCCTCAACTGGCCTCGGCTCCGCTTTGTGACCGGGCAGGAGCAGCGACTCTCCGACAGCCGCTGCTCTGGCGCATCCTCCTGATCCTGCTCCTGCAGCAACTCCTCCGGCCCGATCTTGTCCAGGAAAACCTTCTGTTTGCGAAACCAATCGGTGGCCAGATCCGGCACCAGCATGCGCTGCTCCTGTTTGCGTCCACCGCCGACAAACTGCTCCAGAATGCAGGCGCTCGGCCTCCGGCTGGCCCTCACGCACGGACAACTGCCGACAGCGGTGGGAGCTGTGGATGTGGCCACCTGTTGGTGTGGCGGAAAGTCAGACATGGTCTTCTCCAGATACTGATTGAGGCTCTGGCGCTGCTTGGCCTGCGCCTCGGCCTGCCGTGCGAGAAACTGACGCACGGGGCAGGGATCGACCGCCGGCGGGCATTTCCTTGCTTCCATCTACCGGCCGATGAGAATTGGGTCTATGGATTTACTCTCTGCTTCTGGTGTCGTACTGAAAATTTTGATCTATTTCCGATAACTGAATTCCGTCGAAAGTCGAAGGTTTTGTTTTTATTTTATTTCAATTTGACGTAAAGTTCGACGAGTCAGATCCGCGCAGGCGTGGAGCTCTCGGTTCAAATGTTCCCTAAGCGAAAGGACACACACAAGTAGCGAGTGACAGAGAGCGAGACATGATGCTTATCTTATTTATATTTCTTCCCAGAATCGTTTCGGCCATTCAGGCATCATTCTCCTTTCTGGTGGGTCTCATTGTCTGCAAATCGACCTGCACGAAATCCTTCGTTTATGCCTCGCACTTTCTGATGGAGGCCTACGGCTGGTTCGGCACGGCATACTTTATGTATGACATTTGGTCCATGTACAAGGTGCACACCCAGAAGATAGCCGACAAGCTGCATCTGTTGCGTCTGACCAAGGGCCAGGCACAGGGCCATGGAACATCGTCGATTGTTAATGGTCATGTGAGGAGCAATTGCGAGGCAGGAGCCAATGGTCGTGCGTCCGCGGGTGGCAACAACAATGGCAGCACACCGGGCACGCCGCACGAGATCTGTGACTATGATGGGGCCTGTGTGCAGATACCCAAAGACGGCCGCTGGGATTTTCTCAAGTATGTGCTGACCCATCCGGTAATGATGATCCATCATGTGTTTATCGGCACCTTTGGCCTGTTGGTCGTCACGGTAAGGCTAACACTTAATTCGAATGATGAAACAGCTCTCCTAATCTCCTGATCTCCTGATCCTTTCGTTGCAGTACATTCGTGGCGGTGGGCATTGCATCTACAGCTACATGTTCATGATGGAGTTCTCGACACCGTTTGTGTCGCTGCGCAGCATACTGAGCACGATGCGGCTGAAGGAGTCGCGTGTGTACATCGCCAATGGGCTGCTCATGCTGGCCACATTCTTTGTCTGCCGCGTCTGCATGTGGCCGTATGTGATGTGGCGCTACAGCCTGGCCATTGAGGCGGCCAGCCTGTGGGCGGCCATGAGCGGATTGCCGCGAGGCTGTCTGGTCAGCATTGCCATACTCTTCTTGCCGCAGCTCTATTGGTTCTACCTGATGGTATTAGGGGCACTCAAGGTAAAGTTTTCAGCTCTTTTTGTGTGTCTGCCATCTCGCTCATTTTTGTGTGTGTTCTTCACAGGTGTTTCTGCCCAAAGGGCGACCGCCTGCCACCCTCAAGAATGGATCAGGAGCAGCAGCAGCAGCAGCAGCAGCAGCTGTAGCAGCAGAAGTGACGGCCACAACAACTCCCACAAGTCCCATCGCCATAATAAATGGCAAGAACTAGTGCAAATCGAGGATTAGTTTTGTTTTTTTTTGTTAAAAGCTAAGCGCATGGAAATCTCTAGGCTCTAGCTCCTAGCTCCTAGCTATTATGTATTTATTTTGAGGCGCAGCTAAGTGTATGTCCCCCCCCCCCCCCCCTCCCCCCCCCCCCTCTTTTTTTTTTTTTTCTTTTACAACACTCCCCCCCACCCCCCCACCCCAGATCTATACCACTCATACAAACAAAACAAAACAACAAACAA